CTCCTTCTTCTTCTTCTTCTTCTTCTTCTTCTTCTTCTTCTTCTTCTTCTTCTTCTTCTTCTTCTTCTTCTTCTTCTTCTTCTTCTTCTTTTCTCCTCCTCCCCCATCTACACCTACATCTCCTCCTCCTCCTCCTCTTCCTCCTCCTCCTAACGGCGAGAGGCCGAAACCGGGAATTTCCGTAAACCTACTTTATGTACAACTGAACACAAAATACCCTTTGGCGCAGTCGGCACTCCGCAGTGAATAATACAATGTCGAAGCAAATGATGGCGATCGCTACTGAATTTAACTTAAACTGGGCTTTCTTCTTACAGATTTGATCTTAATGAAAATACAATAGTGCAACACTACGTTTCAAGTTATGGGTACTGGCAAAGTTTCACATTTTTTCATTCGGTAGTTTTTGAGAATATACTGTTCGCAAAATTTGGCCTTAGCTCCATTAGTAGTAAGATAATTATTCTGTCGCAATGATTCTGTCCAAACCGTCAATTTGTCTAAGCCAACCACTTTTCTCATCCACAATGAGTGGCCACCATAGAGATTTTCGACTGGAATTATCGTTGGGAAAGGTGACACCCATAGACTCCATGCCACAGGTCTGACAGAGCCACACGCCTCTTCCCACAGGATGAACATAACGTCATCTCGGAGGTCAGAGGGTGTTAACAATAGCTGCAGACACGGCTTCTATAACATTCCAGAAGCTAGGTCGAAAGTATGAGCATTTCTGCTGCCGCTGCCGCTTCTGCTTCTTTTTTGTTTTTATGGTATGTGTTTTACGGAGTTCGCAACTGTATATAAGGTCATATGAGCACGCGTGACACATTAAACTCTTTCAGTTGGTTGGAAATTTTAAATTTGGCATGGGTGGCGGCCGAAGCCTACTCTTATTTATTTTAGACCTCCAAGGGATCTTTCATATGCGCAACGTGCACATGGGACATCCGAGATTTTTCGCCCTTGTCTGAGGAGGCTAGGTGTAGATCTTTCCTACCTGAAGATCAGGGGTGTGGCTGAAAGACAGCAGTAAGAAGGAGCCAGGCTATAGCAGAAGAAAGGCTGCTGAAAGAGTCAGGAGCCCAGAGGAGGGGGCAAAGGAGGTGAGGGGGTGGGAGCAGAAAGTGTAGACGAAAGCAGACAACAGAACATTGCATGCTAGAGAGTAGAAAAGGAGATGAAAGGAGATGATTTTAGAGATAAAAATTTTCCCGTCGCTACCCGAATTCGAACCCGGGACTTTTAAATGAGAGGCGAACACCTTAACTTCTAGGCCACGAGAGCCCTCGCTTCTGCTTCTGCTTCTAATTCTGATGATGATGATGATGATGATGATGATGATGATGATGATGATGATGATGATGATGATGATGATGATGATGATGATGATGATGATGAAATTCAACCCCAAACTACTCCACTAACCACTTACCAGACGCTAGGCAAAACATTTTCTCGGTAGCTGGGGTCTATGTAATTGTTAAAAATCAGGCTGGGAATTGTCTCCAGGAACATTCTGGAAGTAAGATAGGCAGTGTCACTCACTGCAAGGCACATGAGCAGCACTGGTGCAGACGATTTGTTCCTGGGGACACGAAGAGAAGACGAGAGAGTTCCGCTTTTAAAAAATGTAGATATTTTAAAACCATATAATTAAGGAGACAGTCTTTGAGCACGCCTGTCAGTGCCAAATGGGCTGAGAGAGTTACATCTTGCCAGCAGAAAGACCATGTAACCCGATAGGGTTCCCTTCACTCGTGAATCAAACTCAGATCTACCTGCTTGTAACGGCGAGACGTCTAACGTCTACACCAGAGACACCGATACGTCCTTTCTAACACGTTCGGGTCATGTGTATAGGAACCGTTAGGAAAGCAAAAAATGTCCGCAATGTTCTCCCCACTTTTCTAGACAGGACAAGGAACACTGACGTCTGTGATGCAGGAGGTGTACTCATCGCCTTGATTTTAATTGAGTATGTGTTTTACGGCACTATCGACTCAATTTTGGTCATTGTACTCATCGCCTTGAACATAAACATCGAAAGTGTCCTACTGTGTCTTACTCTGTCCAAGCTGGATCCAACTGAAAGGGTCGAAAATTCGAATTGTGCCGATCGAATAGAAAACAAATCTAAACATCATAAAAAGGCATCATGTGGTACCAAACAAAACAATAGAAAAACAACCTCCGACGTCTGTGGTGAAGCAGTTAGTTCGATTCCCGTTTGGGAAGAATTTTTACGGAGTGTCTCGGTCTTTCTAGGGGTTAGGCTCTCAGACTCTTAATTGTAAGGTCTTGGGTTCGTATCTCAACAAGAGTCCAACGTTGTTTCCTTTTGATAGGAACTTTACGCGAATTTTCTCACTTCACGAAGGTAGGAATGTGTTCCAGGCTATAAAAGCGAAAGATCTTGTATTTTTGTTAGTGCTTGAGTGCGTGCAATCCGCAGCTTGCACTTAGTGCTTTCCAGGGAATCCGAGATTATTTTGAGGGTTCTAGGGTCTGTTGGGGCAATAACAGCTAGGAAGCGCAAAAGGCATGCCCTAGAGCGTGGATATGCGCTATTTCAAAGCAGTTATTTCTATTGGGACGTTGTATCCCTCTCAGCTCGAGTTGGCCCTAACAGGCCTTCCTCCAAAATGATCTTAATGTCAATGGGAATGTCAAACACCTGCATTAAAATATCAAATAAACAAACAAAGCAAACATAAAAAATAACAGCAACAATAAAAACAACAAAACATCCGTACCTGACTGCAAAGAAGGAGGTCAGACCATCACCGGAAGAGCACAATCTATTACAAGAAATTAAATTTTTTTAAAATCCCTTTTAAAAATTCTCTTGTAGGTTTGAATTGTACTTCACATTTTTTAAATTGAGAATTGTTATTATTGTTCCTTATTTATTGAACTTATACTTGTTGCCCCCCCCCCCGACACACACTCTGTATATGACTATGTGCATTTTTGAAATACCTCTTAGAACCTAATTAACTTTTTTCTTTTTTTCATTCCCTCATCCAACCCACCCTCCCTCCTCCATAGCCAAATAACTTCCCGTTCTTTCTGTCACCATTAATTATCTGTTTGTGGTTTCGACGCCCCCGCTCTTCGTTCTGGATCCAAAGCCTATATTTCGCCACCTGCTTTTCTTTCGATTATTTTTTTCTTCAGTTTTCCCCTTCCTTTCGTTTTTAGCTTTTTGTCTATTTTACTTGCTGATGTTCTCTCATGTTGTATATTCACTCCACTGCTCCTTGTTCATTGTATGTTTTGTGTGAGAGAGGTCAGGCTTGAAGCCTTTGTGGTTAAAAGATAATATAAGAAAAGACATAGAATGTGCAGAGAAGCTTAGTTATACTTTAGACTATCTGGCTCAATATCAAAGTTTAAACAAATCCAAGGCAGTCTCCCATCCCCCCCAAAAAAGCCTAACAAAAAAACAAAAAAAACAAAAAAACAAAACAGAAACAAAACAACACCCAACCCCAAACAAACCCAAAGACACACACTCCCAACAAAACAAACAAACAAAACCCGCAAAAATACCAAATAAAAAGTTTATGTTCTGAATTACAACATTTCAGGCAAGAAATGAACAATCTAATTCCATTTGGATTTAAAACCCCGAACTCTATGGTGTTGTCCAGGCAAGTGTACCAGCTGCTTCAGAGAGACCGGCAGTGCAGGGTTATACCAACGAGGAAATAGCTTCGACGGGGCCTGTCAGGGATGTGTGGGATACAGTATAACAGAGAAAAAAACAACAACAACTATGAGACAACTGAAAAAGCAAAAAACTTTCCAACTTGACAGCAAAATTCGTTTATCTTTCATTCAATCTCCAGGAGCTAAATGAATACGCCACAAACGTTGGTCCCTTACGTTTGAACATGATTATAAATGTTTTACACTCATAGAATCTATAAATACATTTAATCAATTATTTTGGAGGCGCGCTGAATCACAGCCAGACGTGGCTGAGCTGTGTGGGCCTCAGTGTCTCAGCAGAAAGAATGACCTTCAAGTCAAGCATATCCAGAAGGCGAAACGTAAAAAGTGATAAACCGACAAGGAGAACTTTCACTTACTTGAAATTTGCCAATACCAAAATGGCAGTGATGTTGCAGATGATTCCTATGCAACAAACGACAGTCCCGCCAAGTCCGAACGCTGTTGAACGCCAGAATTTGATGATCTCTCTTTTCGTTGCATTGGAAGAACTGTTGCCTGTCATAGGCGGTGAAGTGACCATGTCTGAGTTATTATAGAAAGTCGTGGCCAGAGAGAGACTTGAGTCTGTGGTCAAGGCCTGGTATATGTTCGAGTCTCCCATGGTGTTTATCATTTGTATTTCCCAAAAACTGTTTTCACGTTGTGTTTTGTTCCCTTTTTAAACACATTCATTCGTTTTCAAACACATGTTTTGTGATTCCACCCGCGTAGTCTCTTGCTCTCTCTCCAATATGGGGCGCTCACGAAACAGCTGACAACTTTAAAAAGTAGTATGTTCCAATCTTGCTCGCCTGACACAATGCCTAAATATCTATCAGTCTTTAATTTCTACCATGAAAAGTGTGCACACGGTCTGTTCTGTTTAAGCTTTGTCTCACACGTACAAAATGATCTCTTCTATGTTGTTCTATGTTGTACAAAACTGTGATTCATACACACTCCCTGACGAGATCCAATTAATATCAGTTCACCGATTGTCTCTTACATGATCCTCTTAACCTTAGTTGAAAAACAATCAGATAAATATTACGGGTAATTTTAATTCTCTAGTACTTTCTGAAGTGGTCGAGTTAACATAATATATAAATATCTAGTTCAGACTCGTAAAATGATTTCAAATGAGATTCTCTGATTTGATCACGGTAACACGTGATCAATAGTCACTGTTGTGGTCCTGTCACAAAGCAAAGTTTCAAGGGCGATAGTCACACATTTTCAATAATTTACATATGACCAGTCTTTATCCTGGCTCTGGAAACAAAACATAAATCTTCTGTAATGTTTATTACAGGTTTGTAACATGAGTTATATTGTCCGAAGCAAACCCCACGTAGTTTATGTTACAAATACATTCTATGTATTCTGTGCTTGGGAAATCTTCTCACACAATGTCATTTTCTCTATCCCGTTGACTCCTGTTTTCATGAGTAGTCTCTGAAATCGTCCCGTCAAGGCTACAGAAAAACAATATTTGACATATTTTTTTCAACTCTTAATCAGTTCTTGTCCTGCTTTGTAATCAATATCGCTGTATTGACGTTGGTGCTGTCCTATGGTATCCCTGGTCATGACAGCGGAATTCATTCCTCATAACGGTCTCTTTGGAACAAAAAGAGAAAGGTGATATTAGTGACAAAAATAAAATTCCCAACACAAACAAACAACTCTGTAGTGATCTACACACCTGAACAAGCAAAGAAAACAAAACTACCGCACACGGGTTGGGAAGAATAGTTCTTACTGTTATGACCTCCTGGAACACTGGGAGTTGGAATTATTATCCTCGCTTAATGTTTATTTGTTTTTCTGCAAGTTGGCATAGGCCCTATTGACAATTCAAACTAACTGACTTATCCC